TGTGCAGTGCTGGAGGTGTCTGGCCTTCTGGGGGCCTTCCTGGGAACATGTGCAGGGTCAGGAGGCCCACTTGATTCCAGCACCCCACATGTGCCTTCTCCTTCCCTCTGAGTACAGCATCAGATGGCTACCCCAAGGTTGCCAAGGCACATGGGCAAGGCTCCTAATCGGATCCCCCCAGCACCCTCCTGCCTGTCTCTTCCTCCAGCTGTGGGCTGGCCCTGGCTCTCTGGGGTGAGCCTTGGCTTATGGGCTTCCATGGGCATCCAGATACTCCATGAAGTCTTGGGCTTGCATGCCTCATAGAGGTGGGGACCAGTGGGGTGAGGATGTCATTGAGCCCAGGCATGCTTCTGCCCAGGACACCACCCTCCCTTACACATTTTACCAGCTCTGGTGTCCTTTGAGGGTAAGCTCCCCAAAACAAGCAGAGAAACCACCTAGCATGGATGAGCCCCAGCCCCACCTGGCATGGTGGGGTCTATTGAAGCCCTTCCCCCTCCCTTTCCCACGGTGCCAGCCTCAGAACTGTGGAAAGTGGAGAGCAGTGTTTTCTTAGTGTCCCAAGCTGCCAGGCAGGCAGGCATACAGCAACGGGGGCAGGATACTGTTTGCCACTGTTGGCGGTTCCAGCCTCCCACCTATCCTGTGTTCAGCCCGTGGTGGCTGTCTCCAGAGCTTGCTCTGGGAGCCCGGAAAGTCAGCCCTGAAGGTGGCCCAACAAACAGAGTGTCAGGTAGCATTTCATCAGGGCCTGGGTGGGGGCGTGCTGGGAAAAGGGCCTTGCACCCATGGGACCTGCCCAGGTGAAGGAGGGTGCTGGCATGGTGGGAAGTGAAGCCGCGAAGGGGTGGGGCCGGTGGGCAGCGGGCCTGGCTTGAGTGGGGGGTGAGGGATTGGAGAGAAAGGCAGTTCCTGATGGTCCCCTCCCCAGGGGCTGGCTTTCCTCTGGTCCTTCCCTCCCAATGACCACGTCTTCATCGAGGCCGCAGCCCTGGGCTTTGTGCCCACAACTCTGGCGCCAGGCTGCCTGGAGACTCATCAGTGGCCTTTCCTCCAACCTCAGAGCCCTCCCCACTACCGCTGTCTGGAGGGCTGGTCTGCCACCCACACAGGCTGGCTAGGATGGTGAGGTCCTACAGCCAAGTTGGAGGGCTCTGCTTCTGGCTTGTGAGCTTCAGTAGCCAGAGCTGCTCCCGGCCAGTGGCCTTGCTCAGTAACTGGGCACACAGCCCAGAGAGGTGCACAGCAGGCCAAGGCCAACATGATGACCTCTTCTGACAACCCAGAGCTGCATGTCCCTGGTGGGGCAGCATGTCCCTGGGGGAGCAGCCCTCAGAACAGCCCTCTGTCTTGGGGCTTCTGGTCGGTGGGATTTCAGAAGTGATGGGCTGGCAGGGTTTCCCCCACTGACCATGGTTGGTCTGGTTGCCATAGACAGTGCCAGTTGGCCTCCTTACCAGGAGAATTCTCATTTGTGGGAGAGACCAGCTCCTTGGGGGTGAGAAGGCCTACGTCTTCGGTGCTGGGCTATAGCCATGTGGCAGGTGGGACACTTAGGACCCCAGGAGGTGCCACATGCTTCCTACCTCCCTGTACTGCGTTCTGGACAAGTCGGTCTGTCTCATTAGCTGTGTCTAATCTGCTAATTTAGAACCCACTGCTGAGGTTTTTTTGTTTTTTTTTTTTTTTTAAGTTTATTTATTTTGAGAGAGAGAGACAGAGAGACAGAGAGCGCACAGGGGAGGGACAGAAAGAGGGAGAGAGAGAATCCCAAGCAGGCTCTGCGCTGTCAGCACAGAGCCCGATGAGGGGCTTAAACTCACAAATGGTGAGATCATGCCCTGAGCCAAAGTCAAGAGTTAGGCACTTAACCGACTGAGCCACCCGGGTGCCCCCATTGCTGAGTTTTAATTCATGGTTACTATAGCTTCTGATTCTCAAAGTCCTCTCCAGTGCTTTGTGAACCTCCTGATTTACTCTGTCTCATGTACTTTTGCTGCAAATATTCTCAAGCTTTTTCTGCAGTCAGAGCATGGTTGGTTTACTAGACATGTGGGGATCACTTTCTGCTGGCTCTTACTTATGGTGCTTTGTTTCATTATGTGGTTCTTTCTGACTGTCCTTCTCTTTGTCCTTGAAATGATTTGTGAGCCTTCTTGGAGGTCTAGCGTGAAGATGAGAACTTTGGCTTGCCAGGTGCCTGAGGGCACTTACCCATGCAGGAGCCACTCAAACCAAGTCTTGGCATGAGGATCCCTGGACCCCCAGTGCAGACTGGCTGTGCTCATGTGGCTTCTCAGGGATTCTCTCCACTTCTGTGTGCTGTCCCTGTGGCCCCTTGGGGTGGCGGTGGATATAGTCCATCCTTACCCTAGGAGCATTGCCTTTCAGGGGCCCAGCTTCACCCTGACGGGGTGGAGGGAGGGGGTGGGTTTCCTACTTCATTACCATCTTGGGGCAGCCCTGGGCCTTGTCTTTGGTCTCACTTAGCTCCGTGGTCACCAGAGTCTGGTTTGCCCAGATGGACCAGTGCCTCAGGACAGGAATCATAGCCAGGGTACTCTGCTTTCTTTCCTCTCTGGGTCTTCATGTTCTCTGAGATATTGCCTAAATCCTGCATGACTTTGTTAGTTCTTGGCTGCTTTTAAGATTTTTGCATATTGTTTTAAGCATTTTGAGTTGTTTTTGCTACAAGGGTCAGTCCCAACAGCCTGCCCACCAGTATTATATCAGGTGACCCTAGGATGATGGCCCTAGTGGGCACTACCAGGGCACCCAGGGGTGGGAACCCAGCCTGCTCCTGTCAACTCGGGGCCCTCTTCCACATCAGGCACTGCCTTTGGCTCTGTCCTGTGGGGGCCAGTGGCCAGCAGCCCATCTCACATAGCTGTTCATCTCCCAGCATCCTGCACTTCTGCAGTGGCACTGGTCACCATGGTGACGTCTCACCTGCACAGCCAAGGGCTTTGCTGAAGATAGGGATTGTTCCCCTGAGGCATCACCAATGTCCGTACCTTTGGGGACAGGGAGGAACTTGGGGCTGAGTTGTGGGGGTCCCTCGAGGGCCTGTGGGAGCCAGTGGTGGCTAGCAGAGTGGATCCTTTCTCCCTGACTCCCTCCCCTCACTTCCCATCCCTGCCAGACCAGTAAGCAGAAATGAATGGAGAGGTAGGGACATGGTGTCATCCACACGAAGACCTACAGGTGGCTCTGAGCTGTGGTTGTGTCCATAGTGCCAGCCTCAGGCTTTGGCCCCTCCTTGGCTATTCTGTGTTCTGTCACCAGCTCCCTTGCCACCTGTCCACCCACCCTCCCACTCTTGGGTGCTGCCACAGCTTCGATGGCAGGATTGGTGTGGTGGGAACTTCCTTCTGTGAGTCCTGAAACAGAAAATGTTTTACTTCACAGACCCAAGAACTGGGAGCAATTGCATGGGCATCAGAGAGGGGCTCTAAGCTCTCTTCAGTTCCTACCCACCCCCACGGCTGGGGTAGGCTTCTCTTGGAACTGTTGTGTATGGATGGAAGGGACCCTAGCTTGGGGCAGTGAGCTGGAGCCATCCTTGGCCTACTCCTGCTGCTCCCATGCTGGGGGGCGGACTGTGCCTGTGTCCCTCACAGCAGGCTGGTCCCCTCCCCTGTGTGGCTGCTCCAAGGCTTGGGGGCAGAGGGGCAGGAGAGGCAGAGTGTTCATGGTTTGTGTTGAAACCTGGAGCGAGGATGGGCAGTGTCTGGGTATCTCATTCCATCTTCTCTATGAGCTGGGGACCAACTCATAGACCTTCTTTACAGGTGTGATCCCTCTCCCACCCAGGGCAGAGCCCAGACCTTGCTCTAGTAGGCACTGTGTGCTTAATACTCTTGGGGGACAGGCTACTGCACAGACCCTCCCCAATCCTAGGGCACCCCAGGCTAACGTGCTTGGAGCTCAGTTGCCTCCTCTAGACACACACATGCATACAGTCACACACACACATGCAGACGTGCAGAAGCACACATACACAGACATGTCCTTATACTTACACATGTGCACAGACCTTCAGGCCTCACATACATGCACATACTTGCCCGTGAGGTTCTTTTGGGACATCTTTTTGGTCAGGGCATCTATGCAGCCTCTTTGCTATCCATTTCATGGCTGTAGGAGCTGGCTCTGCCCTGGAGTGGTGTCCTGGCTCATGCACACATACAGGACTAGAGACCCTCAAAGTCGCCTCATCCCAGGTCAGTGGCCTCAGGATCTCATCTCTGTTCTCAGCTTCGTTTGGGAAAAGACCTGCTGGTGCTAGAGGTCCCCAGGCACAGGGCCTGTGTGTGCAAAGGTATGCACTGAGTCCCCACTCCCCAGCACCTGGATGCATGTCCATATCACCAGCACATGTGCTTTGCCTCTTGTCTGCACCTGCTTACATGGGGTGTGCAGGGTCCTCTGGGGCCTCTGGGGCCCCTGGCTCTGTATGTGCTGTCATGAGGGCATGTGCTGAGGGCCTGCTGTGGTCACTGCTGCAGAGCATCCCCAGGCCGATTAGATATGATACAGCCCTGCCTTGAGGGGCTGGGGGGCTGGAATTGGTGCCATTTCCAGGGGCTAGGATGGATCAATCTGGGTGGTGGGCATGGAGCAAACCACAAAGCCACTCAGGTGTGGTGTGGGAGGGTACCCACCTGCTGCCCCCGTCCCCCCCCCCCCCCCCCCCACACACATGGTTCTTGTTCTTGCTGCCATGGCCACTCTCCTGTGGTGTGTCAAGGGCCAGTGAGCATTGTAGGCATCAGGGGACAGTCTGGCCTGTGCTGATATGTGTGAACATTTAAGGAGATGGTTATGTAGTGCTGGTGAGTGTCACAGTGTCTGGCACGTGGTTCTGCCATGTCGGTGAGGGTCAGGGATATCACAGAGGTGGTTCTGTTCTGGGCCAGGGAGCATTGCAGATTCGGGAGGGGGCAGTGTTCTGTTGTCTCCATTTACTCAATGCATTTTTTTTCCTTTTTTCACAGACTGTGTGGCCCCGTGTGAACAAAGCTGCTCTCAGGGACCCATGTGCATCATCTTCTTTAAGTTTGATCCTCGCCCTGTTTCCAAAAATGCTTACAGGTAACCCCCTTGCTCTGTGTCTGCTGTCCTCTGTTTGGCATAGTGCCTGGGTAGGGACTGGCTCTACAGCCTGGGCCTGTCCTGTCCAACAGTGGTCACTCAGTGTGGGGCACAGCAGAGAATACCCCTTGCTGGTAGGAGCTCTGAACTGACGTGCAGAGGTGCTGAGACTTTGCTAACAGTCACTGTGCAGGTAGGACAGAGGAGCAATGGGGGCCAGGTGGGAGTGCAGTTCTGTGGTCTCTGTAGGGGCACCAGGGGCAACAGAGCTGGCAAGATGACGACTAAGAGCCCAGTTTGGACTGGCTGGTCTGTGTTGCCAGTGGGAAGTGTGGGTGCTGGTGCTAACACGTAGGGTCTGTCAGTCCTGAGCTGGGGAATGAGGATGGGGGGGGGTGGTGGGGAAGCTGGGGGACCAGCAGAGGAGGTGGGGAACTGAGGCCAGAGAGGGGCGAGACGTGATCCAGTTCTCCCTGCTCCTCCCCATGACCCTGGGCTCTGGATGGTGCCTCTCCATCTCCCAGGTCACCCCAGTGGGAATCCATCCAAGTTTATCCAGGCTGAGGCTGAGAGGTAGCCTACAGCCAAAAGTGACATTGAAAACTGATCACTAGTACAGTTGCCTGGGAAGTGTTCATTGTTTTAAAATCTGTACCAGGAATTATTTGAACGATTTTGACTAACTTCTCAGATTTGAGTCACCATGCAGAATTACACAGACACCATGCTGCCTAACTGTGCTGAATGAAACTCATTCCAGGCCAGGGGCTGGGGAATGAAGAGTATCCAGTGTTTCCTTCATGCAGAGGAGTGGACAGAGGGGCCAGGCCAGAGTCCTGGAGCTGACCCTGATTAGCCCCCAGCAGCATGAGCTGTATGAGTCAGGATGCAGTGGGTGGGATCCAGGTGCAGTGATTTAAGCAGGGAAGTGTAACAGACAGAATTATTAACTGTAACAGGATTGGAATACCCTGGGCAGAGCCCTGTCCTCGCCCCCAGGCTGAGATTCAGACCTTGCTGGGGGCACAGCCATGGCACACTAGATAACAAAGTAATCTCTGGGGTGCCACGGGCAGCAGAACTTGCTAGGAGTCTGCCCTCTAGGGTGCTGGCAACTGTTGCAAGAGGATGCTGGGGGAAGGCGCTGGCCACTGGGTGCATGCGGGAAGCCACAAGTGTATCCGGACTGATCTTAGGGAAGCCACACATGTTGCGGGAATGTCCCGAGGAAGCACATTGCATCCAGGAAAAGAAACCTCTCCACTTGCGGTGTCTCTCCAGTGCCCTCTACTGATAAAACCTAATATGATACTAGCCACAAAGTTCAGCTCCTTTATCATGAGGAGAAAATGAAGGGCAAATTTGGGTCTGAGACATAATAAATGGATAACTGACACAATCTACCCCCTTGCTACTGAGGTTTCATGTGTGCCCTTCTATGCTCACATGAACTCTTACACACTGATAAAATGACTCTCCTTCCACCTGACAAATGCAGAATTTCTCACACATTTTGATAGCAGTCTGACAGCTACTGCGTCTGTTGCTGGCTATATCATTACTTCTAGATTTAGGGGCAGCCTCACTAGATATGCTGTTTCCGAAGGTTACCTCCAATCTCCTGCAAGTGTGGGAGGAGGAAGGAGGTCTCTTGCTTTTGCTCAGGACCTGTGCATCACTGCTAAGACCTCTCCTCATAGTGATTCATGGGTTGTGATTCAAGATGGCCTCAGTGTTTCTTTCCAGTGTATTTCAAAGCTCTAAGCCAAAAACTATATATGCCGCCTCTGGTGACTGACCAAATACACTTGGTGTTTTCCCTGTTGCGGGAGGGCAATAGGGGCTTCTGGTGGCTGGTCCTGTTCTTGCTGTGGGGCTGTCTGGCCCATGAGAATGGGTGGGCTGCAGGCCCTTGGTATCTGCGCCTCTGTACGTTTGTGATGTGAGAAAAGGATGGGAGGAGCAAGGAGGAGGCTGCCTCGGGAGGTACACTGCAGCAGGGCCAGTGAAGAGACACCTGGTGAGCCAAGCCTAGGCTCATCAGAGATTACAGAGGGGCTCCCGGTGCCTGCAGTGAAATGGGGAGCAGGCCAGGCTCTGGGGCCATCAGCGTGGTGGGGAGATCCTGGCTATGCAGTGCTGCCAGGAGCCATCTGGGCCAGCAGGGCCTGCCCCATTGACCCTTACTTGGGCTCCCTCCTGCTTTAGCCATCCCTGTCCTGGCCTGGGATGCACCAGCCTCTGCCTGCCGCCTTAACATCCGCTGCTGTGTCTTCATCTTACACCCATCTACTAACTGGCAGGAATGGGAGTGTGTGCTGTTCTAACCATTTACAAGTGTCCAGCACAGTGGCATTAAACACATTCACATTATTGTGCAAGCATCCCCACCGTCCATCTCCAGAACCCTTCATTGTCCCCAGATGAAACTCTGTCTCCACTGAACACTAACTTTCCATTGTTCCCACCAGCTCCTAACAACCACAGTTCTAATTTCTGTCTCTATGACCTGGACTATTCTGGGGACCTCGTTAGTGGAATCATAATATTTTTTTGTGACTGGCTTGTTTGACGTGGCATAGTGTCCTCAAGGTCCATCCCTGGTGTAGTATTGTCAGAATCTCCTTCCTTCTTACGGGTGAGTAACAGCCCATTGTATGCATGGACTATATTTTTATCCATTCATCCGTTGATGGACACTTGGACTATTTTCACTTCTTGGCTGTAATGCTGCCGTGAAGATTAGCATTCAAGTGTCTGTTCGAGTCCTGCTTTCCATTTTTTTTGTGTATGTACCCAGAAGCAGAATTGCTGGATCATATGGCAAGTCTGTATTTGACTTTCTGAAGAACTGCCAAATTGATTACCTCAAGTATCTTTGATGGCCATGCAATAGGCTTCCCAAGCCATGTCAGCCCGTGTCCTGTTTGGTGGCAGAGTTATGTCTTCACAGTGTGTCATCGTTGAGTGCTGTCCAGACCAAGTCCTTTTGCGCCAAGCCAGACAAGCCAGGTGCTAGTGCCACCATCCGCTTGGACTCTACTGCCCATAAAGCTGGTACACAGGGCTGGGACCCATTGAAGACCCTGTGCTCCATGTGCTCTCTTGGGCATCCTCAATGTCATCACGTGTTCAGTAGCCTCTTGACCCTCAGTGTAATGGGAAGTACCTGTTTTTATTTGTGGGTTAAGCTCATCCCTGAAGTCAGTGTTGCTCCAAGGTCAGATGATTGTAGAGGGGACTTTTTTTTTTTTTAATTTTTTTCAACATTTATTTATTTTTGGGACAGAGAGAGACAGAGCATGAATGGGGGAGGGGCAGAGAGAGAGGGAGACACAGAATCGGAAACAGGCTCCAGGCTCCGAGCCATCAGCCCAGAGCCTGATGCGGGGCTCGAACTCACAGACCGCGAGATCGTGACCTGGCTGAAGTCGGACGCTTAACCAACTGCGCCACCCAGGCGCCCCGGGACTTTTTTTTTTAAGTATTTATTTATTTATTTATTTTGAGAGAAAGTGTGCATGAGCGGGGGAGGGGCAGAGAGGGGGGAGAGAGAAGCAGGATCCATGCTGTCAGTGCAGAGCCCAGCATGGGGCTCGATCTTATGAACTGGGAGATCATTACCTGAGCTGAAATCAGATGTTCAACTGACTGAGCCACTCAGGTGCCCCAAAGGGGACTTTCATAGCTGGAATGGTGGCCATCATTGCCATATAAAGTTGACCTTTAAACAACATGGATTTGAACTGTGTAGGTCTACTTACATGCAGATTTTTTAAAGTACAATACTGTAAATGTATTTTCTGTTCCTTATAATTATTTTTAAGATTCTTAATTGAAAAAAAATTTTTTAATGTTTATTTATTTTTGAGAGAGACAGAGCATGAGTGGGGGAGGGGCAGAGAGAGAGAGGGAGACACAGAATCCGAAACAGGCTCCAGGCTCTGAGCTGTCAGCACAGAGCCTGACGCGGAGCTTGAACTCACAAACTGTGAGATCATGACCTGAGCCAAAGTCGGATACTTAACCTACTGAGCCACCCAGGTGCCCTTAAGATTTTAATTTTTTTTTTTTAAAGTAATCTCTACACCCAATGTGGGACTCGAACTTATTACCCCTAGATCAAGAGTCGTGTGCTCCTTTATTTTAGGTAGCTTACTTTATACTAAGAATATGGTATGTAATACACATAGCATATAAAATATATGTGAATCAACTGTTTACGTAATTGGTGAGGTTTGTGGTGAACAGTAGGCCAGTAGCAGTCAAGTTTTGGTGGAGTCGAAAGTTATATGTGGATTTTTGACTGTGCAGGGAGGGAAGTTGATGCCTCTAACCCCTGTGTTCAGCGGTCAACTGCATATATAAATATTAACTTAAACGTTTCCTCTCTGCCCTACAGAAAAGACTGAAACATCCTCACTTTTGATGCTGTGGGCAGTGTCATCCATGGCTCTGCCGTTGCCAGATGCTGATCTCATGGGAATGTGTTTTCTGGCTTCCCAGAAGTCAGTCTCTGGAAGACGAGCCTGTCCCTGTCATGCCCTCCTAGGACTGACCCAGTGATGTTGCCACTTTGCTGGCCTGTTGTGAAAGATGTGGCTCCTGAAGCATCTCTTCTTCTCTTGGGCCTCATTCAAGCACCATATCCTGTTTTCCCACAAGAGAAAGTGTGGCCCATTGCACAGCATGTATCTTGTGATCTGTCTGCCCAGATGTAGCAGTTATAGTCTGTTGCTGAGTGGCTCTCAGGGGGCCCGGGAAGGGAGGGGGGAGCCAGCGCAGCACGTGCTCAGGGAGTGAATGTGAGCATGGCACCTTCTGCAGAACATCTCCAGGCCTGATACTGGGCTGGGCCCTGGTGTCATGGATCCCATGGTCTACATCTCCCATCCGCCATGTCACTGCATCTCGCTGTTGGGGATGCCCATCCCTCCAGAGGTGGCAGCCGTCCCCATATCAATTTCCACTGGTCCCTCCCCTCCAGGCACTTCCCTGGCATGACCCTCCAAGAGCCCTTGGGCCTTCCTGTCTGTCTTCTTGGTGCTGAGCTGGCCCTGGAAAGGTGGGCTCCTTGAGTGTCACTCTCTCCTGGGGTCACCCCTGGCATGGTGCATCATGACCCCTGCGCAGGGGTGTGATTCCCCTGGGTGGTCCCAGCCTCTGCCTTCCATGCCTGTTGTTACCTGCCACTTAGAACCTCCATTTTTTGGTGACAGTTACCCAGTGTGAGGATTGTCTGAGTGTCTGTTGGTTCTGCTTGTTTTTAATTTTAGTACCAATATCTGCAGCACTCCAGCAGGGAGCATAACAGATAAGAAATTATGTTAGCAGCCTATAAGATGCTGACTTAGAAGTTTTGTGTGGGCTGCAGCCTTGCCCCAGGGTCCCAAGTGACCTTACTCCATAGAGGCAGCTGTATTCCCATGGGATTCCAGTTATTTCCCTGATTGTAAAGGGGTATGTCCTCTTTCAAAAAAAAGTCATACCCTACAAGCTATACAAAGTAAAATGGGAGCTCCCATAACCCTTGTGGCAGGCTGATGGCCACCAAGATTTCTGCCCCTGCATACATACCTGTGTCATCTGTTCCCGTAGTTGTGTGTGGGACCATGGGGCTAAATGTGAAGGGATTTGGCCAATGTAATACAAGTCCCTAATCAGTTGACTTGGAGTTCATCAAACGAGAGCGATCCTGGATGGGCCTGACCCAGTCAGGAGAGCCCCCAAGTGGGACCAGGCCCCTCCTGAAGAGGTTAGCTGCCATGCTTGGTGGGGCCCATGGCTGGGAACCGGGGGTGGCCTCCAGGAGTTGAGTGTGACCCCAGCCAAGGATGGGAATTCTCCAGTAACCTCAGGAACGTAAGGAGGATGCCAAGCCTCAGTGAGACCCTGCCAGGTGGCACCTCGAGTGCCACTTCAGGGGGCCCTGAGCAGAGTACCCAGCACAGCCTGGCCTGCACTCCTGACTGCAGACTAAGATAAGAAGTAGGTGTTGCTCTAAGCTGCAATGTTTGGCAATTTGTTAGGCCACATAGAAAACCAGTACACTCCTGATCAGGTAACACCGTCCTGGCTATCACCTAACGACCATCTTTATCAAAATGTTTGTTTAGACTCCAGAGCTAATTCCCTTTATTGGCTCCAGACTGTAGGGGCTGCTGGGTGAGCTGTCACATCCTTCTGGGGGCTTCCATGTCACTGCTGGTGACATCACTAGGCCATGGGCCCATGCAACTGCTACCTGACACTAAACTGTCCCCAAATGGTGCACAGACTCACCCCCCGCCACCAGATGGTGCATAGGCCCACCCCAGATGGTATACTGACTCAGCTTCTAGAGGTGCACAACTCACCCCCCAGATGGTACACACCCCTCCCCCAGATGGTGCACTGACTCACCCCCCAGATGGTGTGTAGACTCTACCATCCCAGATGGTGCACAGACACCCCCCCTTCAAGATGGTGAGCCGACTCCATCATCCCAGATGGTGCACACTAACCCCAGATGATACACAGACTCATCCCCCCAGATGGTGTGTAGACTCACTCCCCCAGATAGTACGCAGACTTACCCCCTCAGGTGGGACACAGACCCACCTCTCAGATGGGGCACAGACCCACACCCAGGTGATGCATAGACACCCTCAGTAGCAGGGTGAGGAGTGCCCATTGGTGATGAATAATTAGCAGTTTCAGTTATTAGAACAAAACAAAGCCATGGGTGACTTGCTGTCCTCAGAGCCCCTGACTGTGGTTGGCCTGTGCCCTGCCCCTGGGTGCTATGGCACAGATAGACTTTTATTGGTATTGAAGTACCCAGAAGTGGTGAGTGAGGGAATACTTTCTCTTACTTGGAGCCTTGATGTGGGTACTCATCACACCCACATGTTTCCGAATTAGGTATTTAATGAAATCCCCAGCAAACCACTAGAAATTCAGCTAAATAGCGACTCTTGCGACAAAAATAACCCAGCAGTTAATATTTCTAGTTAATAACAAATGCATGTCACTGCTCCATGTTTAAAAATAGGAATTGAGAATCATAGGACAGAAGGTTCTGCTCAGTCAGCTTTTTTTTTTTTTCCCCTCAATTTTTCCTTTTCTGGAGACTTACGTAAGAATCAGAACCAGAAGCCAACATCACCAGTCTTAATTCAGGTTCTGCCTTCCTGGCCTCCCAGCCTCCTGGCCTCTGCAGCCCCCTCTCCCCACAGGTATCGGGATGAGTGAGCAGAGGAGGGGTGCTGGGTGTCTGAAGGAGAACACTGTTTCCTGACCACATGAAACAACCTCCACCCACAGGGGTTGGTGGGATGCCCGGCCCACAGAAGCAACCTGTGGGAGCAGTGCCAGCCAGGTCGGATCTGAAATTCAGTCCCAGAAGAAAGGGACAGAGTAGATGTGGCAGGAGGTAGGGGTCTGGGCCCAGCTGGCTTCTCCCTAAGGCTGACTGCCTCAGCCGGGGGCTGGGGTCTGGCATGTGGAGCTACAGAAGATTGTTCTATGGGTGGCTGGGGTTCGTATCAGGGACAGTGACCTCCCCCCCGCAGGGGCCTATCCCTGAGACCTGGACCACTGTGTCGGGATAGAGAGCTATCGCAGGCCAGACAGGTGTCTTTAAGGTGGTGAGACTCCCAGGGCAGACCCAGAGGGTTTGATGGCCATCCATAGTCCTTGGCCATGTTGGTGCTTGTGGAGGTGCAGAGTTGGGTGCTCACCCTCTGTGCACAGGATGAAGGCACATCTGTGGTCCTGGGCTGTGGTGCCAGTGCAAGTTTCACTTTCAGTTTTATGAAGTTCTTTGTTAACTCACATTTCACCACAAGCAAATGTTCATAAAAATCTAAGATTAAAATCAAAAATTATTTTTGGAAACTTTTTAGGATCTGACCACATATTAACCCCAGCATGGCGACAGGCTGCCAAGCCATAGCTCCTGGCTCCACGTCCTCTGTGCACCTGCCCATGGTGTTCAGGACCCTTTGGCAGTCACTTCCTAGACCCAGAGGTCTCATGGATGTAGCAGGGGTGGACCCCTTCCATTCAGTCACTGTCTATGGCCTTATTATATTTAAAATGGCAAAGCCGATTAGAAACTTTGTTTTCTCACCTTGAAACTAGAACTCTTTTGAAAACATGGACATCTTTTCTACTTGCCCACAAAATACTTGTTTGATTCATAATGCAAAAATCTAGAGAAACGCAGAAATCCGTACGTTATGCGCTTCCTTTCCCCAAACACCCCAGAACACAGAACAGCAGCTTCCAGAGCTCCTGCACTTGGCTGCCGGCTACACGCTTCCCCAGGGCCCTTCTGAGAGGCATGCTTACACTTCCAGGAAGTTCACGGGCTCACTGGGGGTGGCCTCAGGGGAAGGAACACATGGACAGAGGGGGAGTACCTCTGCCACCTGAGCACCTGGGACATGCTTGGTGCCAGCTGCTCAGAGCCCTCCCCCGCGCAGGCCCTGATCTTGTGGCCCCCTTTTTGGGTGGGTAGGAATATGCAGGGTGAGATGGGATACGTACCTTCACCCAGCATCTGCTTGTTTCTTTGGCAGGGCCCTGGGGCACAGTCTTGGCCAGAGGCTCCCTAGGAAACAGCCCTGTCTGGTGCCGTCACTGACCTCTGCCTCCTGAGGGTTCCTGTCCTCGCTGGGACTTGCCTATGTTGCTACTGAGGCAAATTCTTTGTTAACAGGAGAAATAAAACATGGCTTTTCTGTTTTCCCCTGAGACCCTTAGTCATCCTTTCTCTTTCAGGCTCATCCTGGCGGCCAACAGGGATGAATTTTACCACAGACCATCCAAGTTAGCAGACTTCTGGGGGAACAACAATGAGGTCCTCAGTGGTGAGTTTTTCCTCTCAGGGGGGTGGCCATAACATGGCAGAAAGTAGGCGCCCCCAAGTGGTTTTATCTGTTCCTGGTGCTGCTTCTGAGTATAAATGTGGAATGAGTAAGTGGACACTCATGGGGCAAGCTCCCAGTTTGGGGTCTGAGGCCAGCATTGGGGCAAGCAGCCCCAGAACTGTTTACCCAGCACTGTCCACATGGTTTCATGTGTTGTGGATTCCCACAAAAGTAGCTGGAAGGATCAGTTGGTTTTATTTGGATTCATCTTTTCACTGTGGGCATATGGTTGGGTTTGTATGAAATGCAGGTTCACACTCAATCACTCTATGAAGCATCATAGTTGTGTGTGTGTGTGTGCTTGTATGACTGCGCTTATGCCTGCATGTTTTTGTTTTTTGTTTTTTAAATTTTTTAATGTTTTTTCATTTTTGAGAGAGAAAGAGTGTGTGTGTGCAAGTGGGATAGGGGCAGAGATTGAGGGAGACACAGAATTTGAAGCAGGCTCCAGGCTCCGAGCTGTCAGCACCGAGCCTGATATGAGGCTCAAACTCACAAACCACGAGATCATGACCTGAGCCGAGGTAGGACGCTTAACTGACTGAGCCACCCAGGTGCCCCACACCTGCACTCATTTCTGTTTACACACCAGCACCCCTTGCTCCAGAACTGGCCTGAATTTGGGGAGTAGAGGCTTGGTTGGGGCATATTCAGATGGGAACTGCCTGAGGAGTTGTCATGGAGGTAACTGTCATGTCTCCTGCCAGTCCAGGTGGCAGCCTCCCTGAGCCCCTTAGAGAGAGTGCAGTTCCTGCCCATGGGGCGGGCAGGGGTCTACTTAGAAAGATGTGGACAGGTGTTGGCCAGGCCAGGGGTCCATCTGTCTGTGAGCCAGGCATCAGGGAAGCACAAGAGAGCCTGGCAGAGCTGACAGGGATGCTCAGGTGCCCAGTGGGCTGAGTGGGTGGCCTCAGAGGCCTGGGGAAGCTGTGTGTGCCCTGCTTTGCCTGCGGTAGCTAAAAGCTCGACTGGGAGCACTTGGGTTGGCTCATTTGGTTAAGCATCCTACTCTTTGGCTCAGGTCATGATCTCACGGTTCATGAATTTGAGCCCTACAATGGGCTCATGGCTGACAACCCAAAGCCTGCTTGGTATTCTCTCTTTCTCTTTCTCTCTCTCAAAATAAGTAAATAAACATTAAAAAAAAAAAAAAAAACTTGAAAAGTTTTAAAAACCTTAAAAAATTTTTAAAAGCTTGACTGTGGAACTTCCATGGAAGGCCTCCTGTGTAGACTGGTCAGGTGGTTGTGTGAGGAAAACCCTGCCCAGGCTGGATTGTCCTGGTGCCATGTGGGAGGACAGGAGTGGGGAGACTAAGGCAGGGCAGTGTTGTGGACAGGAAGTCTGGCAGGTGGTGGGGAAAGTTGTTGTGAGTCTGTGAAGGAGGCTCCACTCACTGAGTGCAAGAGGGAGAAGAGGCTGGGGTTCTGGGCTGTGTCTTGGCCTCATCAGAAGCTGCACAGGAGACATGTGAACTGAGGGGTGGGCTGGGACTGGCAAGGAGACCCTTGTATGTAAGCTCTAGGCACCGCAGCACAGTAATCTGGGTGAAGGGGGTGGCTTGTGTGTGGGGTCCTCAGCTGGGCCAACCACGGCTCTCCCAGAAGGGAAGGGGCAGGCCTGAGGGGCTATGTGATGAGGTTCTGAGGGGAACCTGTGGGCCTGGCCAGTACCATGCTGGCCATTCCTGGGCTAGGATGGAATGGGAGGGGTCATGGAGATGGGGCAGGCTGTGCATGTCGCTGTTGCAGGGCATGATTGGGAGGCTGTAGTGGGGCGGGGGGGGGGTGAGGGGGACGAGGCCCTGATGGCACTTTTTTTTAATGCTTATTTATTTATCTTGAGAGAGAGAAAGAGCACATGCACACGCGTATGGAAGGGGCAGAGAGAAAGGGAGAAAGAGAGTCCCAACCAGGCTCCAGGCTCAACATGGAACCCAACACGGGGCTGTATCTCACTACCCTGAGATCATGACCTGATCCGAAATCGAGATTCAGACGCTTGGGGCGCCTGGGTGGCGCAGTCGGTTAAGCGTCCGACTTCAGCCAGGTCACGATCTCGCGGTCCGTGAGTTCGAGCCCCGCGTCGGGCTCTGGGCTGATGGCTCAGAGCCTGGAGCCTGTTTCCGATTCTGTGTCTCCCTCTCTCTCTGCCCCTCCCCCGTTCATGCTCTGTCTCTCTCTGTCCCAAAAATAAATAAACGTTGGAAAAAAAAAAAAAAAGAGAGATTCAGACGCTTAACCAACTGAGCCACTCAGGTGCCCCGTCTTACATTTTTGTACATGGTGTGAGGTAGGGTTTGAGGTTCCTATCTCCTACTACATTTCCCCAGTTCTTCTAGTCTTATTTATTGAATAGATATTCTTTCATCTGTTGCATTCCTAGGGCAACTTGGTTGAACACATGTGTGTGGGTCTATTCTAGACTCTCTTATGTCCCATTGATCTGTTCCTCTGTCTTGATGCCGATGCCACACTGTCTTGATTACTGCAGCTTTTTAAGCAAGTTTTGAAATTAGGTAGGATTAAGTCCTCCGGCTTTGTTCTATCTCAGAACTTCTTTATCCATCCTGACTTCTTTGTGTATGCACATAAATTTTAGAGTCAGTGTAGTAATTTCTATAAAACAGAAAGCTTGCTGGAATTTGAATTTCAGTTCTGTTGACTCTTTTAGTCATTTGGAGAGAACTGTCATCTTACCAATATTGAGTCTTTGGTTGAAGAACAGGACATATTTTTCTCTTTTAATTAGAGCTGCTTGACTTCTCTCAGCGCTGCTCTGTGGTTTTTAGTCTTTAGGTGTTACACATTTTTCTTTAAATGTTTTCCTACTTTTTGGTTTGGTTTGGTTTAGTGCTATTGTAAATGGTATTATTAAATTTTCATTTTCTGATTTTGCAACTGTTTACTTACTAGTTCTCGTAGATTTTTAAAAATTAATTTATTATTATTTTTTTGTAATCTCTACACCCAAAGTAGAGCTTGAATTCAGGACCCTGAGATGAAGAGTCATAAGCTCTTCCAACTGAGCCAGCCAGGCGCCCCCTAGATATATCTATATCTATATCTATATCTATATCTATATCTATATCTATATCTATATCTGTATCTATATCTATGTTATATCTATATCTATATCTATATCTATATATCTATCTCTATATCATGTATATCTGTACATCTATATCTATATCTATCTATGTAAATATAAATATAATTTTTTTTTTGGTTGAGGGGGTAGATTCCTTTTGGATTTTGTTCATATGTTATCCTGCTGTCTATAAACAGACAGTTTTACTTCTTCCTTTCTGATCTTTATATTTCTTATTTCTTTTATTGTTATAACTTATTATTATAAAAATGACATTTTAATGACTTAGTTGCTTTTACCCCAATCTTCAACTAAAATGATCCTCTAGTCTAGTAAGATGCTTTCCTGTGGCTTTAAGGGCCTCACTGACCCTGTGGCGAGGCCCCTTGGAGTACTAACCATGGCCTGGGCCTATGGGGTGGGGATGAAGCTCACAGGTGGGCCTGGATATACCCCGGACTCCTAGTGAAGTACCCACCCTAAGGGCCTGTGTGTCCTACTGGGGGAGGACAGCCAGTGGCCCTGCACCTGATCCAGGGTGTGGGATTGGGGCATGGTGCTGTTTCTAGGACAGAGCTGGCACCGTGCTCCCAGCCCAATGCCGGTCCAGGCACCAGCATGCATTCTGCATGTGCCAGGTTTTACTGCAAGCTTTCAGGGACTCCTGTGGGCATCAGATGTCATCCTAGGGGGCAGGGTCTCTCTCATGTGCCCTGTGGGCTTTGGGGCTGTCTTGCAATGAGGAGTTCAAGCCCCTGTCCCATAGCTAGGACTGCTGGACTGATTATGTGTCTCCCTAGGACATAAGGACAGGGCCGTGGTAAGTGCTACTGGTGGTGACACCGTCATCTGTCACAGGACTTGACATGGAGGAAGGCAAGGAAGGAGGCACGTGGCTGGGCATTAGCACACGGGGGAAGCTGGCCGCGCTCACCAACTACCTGCAACCACGGCAGGACCGGGATGCCCGGGGCCGAGGTACCATGGGGCAGTGGTGGAGCGGGCAGGGCAGGGGGTGGGCTTTCCTTGGGCACATGTAGACACAGGAGGTAGAAGAAGGGGAAGAGGGGTGTTTCTGGTCCTAAGGCCCACTGGCTGCCATTACTGTGGGAACCACCTGCTGCCCGGCCCATGCAGCACCCACCTGCACAGATAGGGTTTGCCCCTCTCAGGGAACACTCTCCACACTTGTGCCCCAACCAAAGTGTCACTTCTGACTGTCGTCATTGTTCCCCACCTGTCAAATGTTTGCAGAGCAATACCCCCTTGGAAGACACACATTGTTCCCACGGAAGATTTTTTTCCCTCATGCTGTACTTCGTTAGGGGGTATAATTGAAGAAAAAAAAATTAAAACCCAACAAAAACAGAGTTCTTGATGCAGACCTCATTAGCTGCTAGGTCAACAAGATATGGCTGGCATGGTGGTGTTTAGCTCGTACCAGCCCCATGTCAGTCTCCCCATGAAGAGGGACTCAGCCCTGCTGCCTTGGCCACGTGTGTCTGTCCCCTACCCACAGGTGAACTTGTGACCCACTTTCTGACTACAGACATGGACAGCTTGTCCTACTTGAAGAAGGTCTCTGCGGAGGGCCACCTGTACAACGGCTTTAACCTCATAGCAGCTGACCTGAGGTGGGTCTGCTGGGAAGGGGATGGCAACCCACTGGGTGCTGCCACAGAGCTGGGTCATGGGCTTGACAGGAAGTGGGGTTCCCACCCTGCCACTAAGCTTGGGGTACTGTGGTGGCCTCCCCAGGGACATTGCTCCTGTTGGACATGGTGAGGGTCCCGAGGACCAACCGACTATCATGGGGACTCAACGAACAGAGCTCGGGCTTTCTGTGGTGCCGTGAGGGCCACCAGCTCCTGCACGACAGCTGTAGCATGACTCCAGTGGGCATCTCCAGGCATGAGGTCTCCCCATGTCTGTGGCGAAGGAGTCCCCTGTTTTGGCTCTGACCCTCACATGCCCTGATCTCTGGTGGCAGAAGCGTCCCAGGCTAGAGAAGGAAGGTCCAAGCACCGCTGACTGGTGTGGAGCCTGGCAGCACGGTGTGGTCGGGTGCTGCTGAGCGCTGGAGCCTCACGGCGGCTTCTCCAGGGAGGCGTGTCTGAGCCTGCAGCACAGCTCATTTCAGGTTCTGCAAGGCACTCAATGGATAGCTCCCTTGGCCTGTCTGGAGTTGTCAAGGGGCAACAAAGCTGTCCCAGCTGCCCACGGGCCCTGTCACCAGAGGACATGGACACTCGCCTGTACAGGCGTTTGGGGCAAGTCTTTCCCTACTTGGAGTCAGACAAGTAGGCAAGGAGCAGAGGCAGGTGGAAGGGTCCCCAAGGAAGCACGGGCCTGGAGCCTCAGGGGTGCCTGTGCTGGCTGAGAGTTAGGAGTCTGGCTGCTGGAACCCAGCAGAAGGCCTGGGCCATGTGGGGAAGTGGCATTTGGGGATGTTGCCAGGTCCACGTGAGGCACACAGAGGTGCAGCAACCAGCAGTTACCTGCGTAGCTGTTTGGGGGATGTGCTGAGCCCTTCATGTGCAACACTTGGCACGTCCTCACAGCCACCACCCTGTGTACACCTGATATGGCTGAGCTCCGACAGGCAGCTGACATGGCTAAGACCCCTGCTGGAGTGACGTAGGGCTGGGGTCTTGTGGTGCTTCTCTGGGCACCTGGCTGGGGGGTCCAGGTGCCTCTGGAGACAGTAGTCACATCCCATCAGGTGGGCACCAGGTTGGGAAGAAGCACTGCACGCACGGCCGTGGTGCCACTGGACACCAGCCGGTAGCATCTGTGTTTCTGAGCCGCCAGTGGCTGCAGCCTGGCTTCTCAGAGTGTGTTTATCTCTGTGACTCCCATGCCTGGACCCTGGCCACAACCCTGTATTAGCTCAGACACCAGCTACCCTGCTCTGGACCTCCACAGGGCTGCCTGTAGCCCAGGGCCTATTGGTCAGCAGCATTTGCTGAGTGTCAGTTGAGAAGTGGGCACTGCCTGTGGTCCACTTCCCACTGCGGACACTGAGCTTTGTGGTGAAGTAATTGTTGGTGTTTGGTACAGGTTAGCAGGAGTCATGCGGGACCCATGTCCCTGGCGGGGGGATCCCAGAGCCCATGCCCAGGGCTGGCGGTCAGATGGCGGGCAGAAGCGGGGGGATGGCTGGGGTTGCATGTTAGGTGCCAGTCTCCCGCCTGGCCCTGTCTACAAGCGGGCAGACAAATGTGCAGACAGAAGAGTAGACGCTATTGACAGTCTTGGTGTATAAGGCAGATCACGTCAGGTGGGGGAGTGGTAATGTCACAGCCACGAAGGATGGCCAATGTGGAGAGGCCCTGGCTGGGTGTTCCCACCTCTGATGCCCCAGGGCCCACGTGCATTTCTCTGAGTAGGCCTCGCAGAGCTGCTGGAGGATTCAGGCATTTGTGGGAACAGCCCGACAAGGTGGGTAGGGTGTCCTGTGCTCCCTTCCACAGGACTTGTACTTCAGAGATGTGGCCCAGGAACTGTAGGCGTTTTGTGTATTTTGCCCTTCGGTGAAGTGGGCATCCATCTCTCACATTCTCCCTCCCTGCTGCCCTCTCCTTGTGTGCCCCTGCTGCCAATGCCCCAGAGGTCAGTGGAGGTCATCAGTTTCCATCAGGGTAGGTGGTCAGTGCCCCATGGTTTGCCAATGACCAGATGCCTGTCCTGAGCCTGTTTCCTTCTACAAGGAGCCCTAGGCCCACTGTGCCTTAATTGTCCACTGCATGTGGACACACACCTGCCGCGTGGATAGTCGCATTGATGTAGAGGCTGAAGTGTCCATGGGAGGAGGTGGGTGCTGGCACGGACACTTGTTCCCTTGCCCTCCATGCTCCCCCTGTACAGGGACCACTTTTCCTATCTGTCGTTCTGTGTACATCTGATCCAGTCTGGGAGACCAGTAGCCCAGCAGGACTTGGTGCTCAGCAGCCATGTCAAGTGGCTGGGTGATGAGGGCCCTGTGCTCTGAGTGGATGCATGCATGGGCAGGTGGCTCCTATAGGTAGGCCTTGGGCCCATCAGTGCCTGAACAGCTCTCCTGGCTCCTGGGGCCACAGGGTTGGACCATATCTCCCTAGACACAGCCCTCAAGGACAGGTGGCAGCCAGGGGAACCCAGCGGGTTATTCCCAAGGGCCAGGTGTGCAGGGCAGAGGCCAGAGGGAGTCAGCGGTAACCAAGCAGCCCTGGTGATAGGTGCCGGGAAGAAGTCAGGGCCGAGAAGAAAAGAATCCCATCATCACCATAGCTGGTCCCTAACCAGGCATGGGGAGAGTTGGTGTCCAATCCATGGGTCTTCATGCTTTCTAGGTTTTTGCCTACAAACAAAATTCCTGAAGTCATTAGCCAGATATCTCATAAAATGAGCCAGCGGCTGTGGGGAGGAAAAAGATGAGCAGAATGTGAAGCCATGTGGGGCCAGAGTGGGCATTGCCGGTGGAACTCCCCGGCAGCCCCACCTGGTCTTTGCGATTGTTCATCTTGAAGGCTCAGGTCCCATGTGTGGTGGTCTCCGTGCCTCCAGGAGGGCGGCTCACAGGCCAGGAAGAGTCCTTCTCCAGTTTGCAGAGAAGGCAATTCTAAGTCTTAGTAGGAAGATTTGCTATGGTATTTAGTAGGAGTGGGAACATTTTCAGCTCTGAGCACTTTGAACTATTTTTAAATGTACATGCAGTGCATGAAAGTAGGCAAATGTGATCTTTGATGCTTTGTTCTGAAGCCTCTGTTACCCTGGGGCATCCCTCTCTGTCTGGAGGTATCCAGACATGAGCTGTGTGGGCGGTGACTGGTGTTTATGGGTACAGAGCAGTTATTGACACATGAGCCTGCAAGTACCCATGCCACGGGAGCATTCAATGAGGCAGGAGGGTCTTTTAGATGCTGTCCCTCCCAGGCTGCTCCCAAGCCATTGGTCCCTGCAGTGAGCCGGGAGTCAGGAGCCAGGAGACTCAAAGCGCCTACCTGAGAGGCCCCTGAGAGGCTGGAGCCCTCACTAGCTCCTGCCCTGGCTATGGCGAGCCATTGTCCCTGTGCTGGGGATGGGGCCGTGGGGATTGCCAGGCAGTAAGAGATCAGAACCCCCCATGGCTCCCTTCTGACCCTCTCTCTCCTCCTGTCTACAGCACAGAGAAGGGTGATGTCGTTTGCTACTATGGAAACCGGGGGGAGCCTGAGCCTGTCGTCCTGGCACCAGGTAAGCCTGCTCTGGTGGGTGGTGACAAAGTGGGGGCTGCTTCTATAGGGACACCTGTATACTTTTCAGAGCCTGGGTCCCTGTCACATTTCTCTCCTGGGACTATGCTCTTCTGCTGTTCGTGTATCTTATGGCCTCAGAGTCCACATGTCAGGCTGCCTACAGCCAAGGCCACCTGCCCACAGCTTAAGCCTTCCCTAGCACTGAGCTCTTGACTGCCAGAGAGAATCAAAAACTAAGAGGCAAAAAAGGACACAGGCCCCTCTTACCTTTCTTACACAGGCCCCTCTTACAATTCTATGCATTGGCCCAGAGGCCTTTGTGGAAGCATCTGGAAAGCACCCCTGTGATGCCCTTCCTCAGTTTATCAGTACTTGAGATTCTGTGACTGGAGATGCTTGTTTTCTGCTCAAGAAAGGAAGGATGGGATAGAGGGAGGGAGGGAAATCATTTCAAATACATCATGTTGTTTACTTGAGCTTTAACTTGCCTGATCCGTGTCACTTTTTTTGAATAGCAGCTTTGTTGGGGGGCCTGGGTAGCTCAGTCTATTGGGCATCTGACTTCAGCTCAGGTCATGATCTCATGTTCCATGAGTTCAAGCTCCGCGTCAGGCACTGTGCTGACAGCTCAGAGCCTGGAGCCTGCTTCAGATTCTGTGTCTCCTTCTCTCTCTGCCCCTCCTCCGCTCACACCCTGTTCCCCCACCCTCAAAACATAAATAAACATCAAAAAAAAAATGTAAATAGAAGCTTTGTTGAGATATAATTCATGTATCATACGATTTACTCATTTTAACTGTACCATTCAGTAGGTTTGAGTCTATTCTCAAAGGTGTGCAATTATCACACCTGCTGTTGAACTGCTATTGAATTCTGTCACATTTTCATCACCCTAAAGGGAAACCCCCATCCCCATTAGCATTTACCCCCCACTCTTCCTACCCCTCAGCCCTAGGGAGACGCAGAATCCAAAGCAGGCTCCAGGCTCTGAGATGTCAGCACAGAGCCCAGTGTGGGGCTCGAACTCACTAACTGTGAGATCATGACCTGAGCTGATGTTGGATGCTCAACTGACTGAGCCACCCAGGCACCCCTCTTTCTTTC